CAGCAGGGACACGGACTGCCGGGGACCCGCGGCTTCGGGGGCCTTCACCCTCCGGCTCTGCCGTGAGGGGAAGCCCTACCCCCTGCTTTCCTAGGGAAACTACCCGCGTGTGCCCGGCTCCCCACCGGGAGCCTGCCCGGCAACAGAGCCACCGCGGGAAGGGGGGCGAGGGCGGCGTGCCCAGAGGCGGGCAGAGGGAACGGGAACGGGATCCGAACGAGGGAGAGAGGGAAATCCCCGCTCTGCCTCCTCCCGGCCGAGGGCCGCCTGTCGTTCCCACGAGGGAAGGAGCTGCCCTGGGCGGGGAAGCGGCGGTAGCGGGGAAACGCCGAGGAGGCGCAGCGCCCTCAGCGCACTCCGGCACACCCTGGGGACAAGAAGCCGTAAAACCTGAGAGAAAGTAAAACTGAAGTGCCTTCAATACAATTATAATTCCTTTAACAACCTCTTTTCCCCGCCGATAGTCTCAAGTTTAAAAATGTATTAGAACTTCCTACCAGAATTTGTGTAGTGTACAGTAAGGATTGTCTTTTCAAATGGGTTTAAACACGCGGGATGGAAGGAATTTTCTTTCCTTTTAGCTTACCTCCTTTGATGGGAAAATTACCCCCCTGCTGTGAATTACAACAGAGCAGTTAACCATTACAAAAAGAGCAATTTCAGGGTGAGGGCAGTCAAACGTGCTACTGTTATTGGTTAACAGCTGAAGTTCCCCACTTGCTGCCGGTCTCCTTCTAACCAATAACGGGGAGAACCAAGCGTTTACCATCCTCGAATTGATACTGTTTAACATTGAACTTGAACTTTTTGTTATTAAAGATATGCTTTTGAGTAAAACCAAAAATGATGAGCCTCACACTGCTCTGCGTTCAAGTAGTGGTATGTCAACTATGTGCTATTTTGTACCAGATTCTACCACATTTAGTTACCTTAGGTCTAATTTGTAGTCACACAACATCTTTGACAATGGAGTAAGACACTGAATATTTTATTGGTGCACACATTTTGACATTTTTTATACTTCAGAATACTGTTGGTCTTTACTTATGGGCACACTAGTTACATTCACTTTATGGATTGAAATAAAATATCACTTGAATGGTACTGGAGCACTGCTTGCCTTAAAGCAGCCTAAAACTGGTGGACAAAATCTTGGTTTTTCACCTCACCTACGTACAATCGCTGACCAAAAGCTAAGAAAAGGTTAGACACCTCAGTCCATAACTGTGCCTTGAACCATGACAATTTGATCCTCCTAGCTTTTCCAAGGTCTGACCTTTTATTCCCACTATTGTTTCACTTTGTAAGCAATCTCTTATCACATTCTCAACAGCAAGGAGACAAGCTGCTGAACCCACTGACATGATTAAGACGAATGCAGAGACACATAATCTCTTTATGATGGAGCAACATCATACCTCTCATCTTACATGAGGTTGGTGCATGACATGACGTCTGTCAGGTCGCGTGTCAGGATCCCCTGAGGTCACACAAGGAGCATAACATACCACAGTGTTAGGGGATGTGATGAGAGCAGAGCCATGGCACAGTGTAGCATCACACAGGGTCACTTTCTCTGCACCAGAATGCTGTGAGTTCTCTGCCATTTCAGAACTGGGAAAGATTTTGCAGCTTGTTGCAAGGCCTTGCCAGCTATGCTTGGTGACAGCAAAACATGAAGTCATGAAGACAGAAATATCCTAGTGCTGAAGAAAATATCAACAAAATGGACAGAATGGAAAAAGGATAAAGTTTCTAAATACAAAATTAAATTCAGCTTATTCTATTGCACACACTGCTGAGAATCACATTTAATAAGTGCACCTCTGTGCAGCTTATCAGAAAATCAGACAAAACAATAGCAGCTATTTTATTCCCAGCTGTAAGTCTGGAGTAGCCAGACTGTTTGCACTCACAGTTTAAAGTACATAAATACCAAGAGGTTCAGCTCACATGCATACACTAGAAGAAGTAAAATACCAATGCAGCTGTAAATTTTAAAGCCCAGTTATAGCAAATTCATCTGCTTGTTCAATTGCCAGATTGAAAACTCCTTAGTTTTTAGTCCATGATCAAGTGTTTTTGCTTTAAAAAATAACTTAGACAATCACAGTTTAAACTACAGCTTTGGATCACTGAGGTCCTGTCCTGTTCTTGAGACAGCCAAGATGCTGAAGTATTATACAAGGAAAAGGCTTTAGCAAACCGTTAAGGCACAAAAGGAAATAGTTTTCCATGGGAAAAAATATTCCAGTGGGTTACCTTAAGTAAGGAAAAGGTTGAAAGATACCTTCCATGTGGTCTTGGTATAGATTAATGAAAGTGAAGTCATCCTTCTTAAGCAAAGACTTCTCAGTGTGTTATTGTAGCTACCCTTTGATCAAGGAACCTGAGATAATCAATCAGGTATTCCTGATTCATTCGTGTAAGAGAAATTACTGTAAACATGAGTGGGTTTTTTGGTAAGTTTTCTATGGGGTCTTTTCTATCTCTCTCTTCTTGTGGAGCTTCACTGATCATCCACAAAACATTTACTGTCTGGTAGCAATTGTGGGGTGGGGTTTTGATTAATCTGGCTTTTTAGTTTGTTGTTTGTTGTTTTGGTTTTTATTTTTTTCTCAATGTGAATAAAATTGCACATTTCTTTTAGGAGAAGAAACAGATTATAGGTACAGGCAGATATTTGTGTATATTAAAAAAAAAACAAAAAAAAAAAAAACAAAGATTGATCAAGTGGTTAAGCTATACATTAAGAATTGCCTGTAGACCAAGATGCCTTTTTACCGTAATTTTACCAAAAAGTTCTCTGAGCTTTTCTTCAGCAGAGATTTATAAGGACCCCTCTGATAAAACCTATGTTTTCCTTCTCTTTCTGTTTTCCCTTGGTGCTTCTGCTTCTTCTTTGCACAAAGCAGAGCTGCAATCAGAGCAGTCCACCACGTCTGCACTGACATTCAGCTGGCAGTGGAACTAGTTGCTCGTGTCATTCAACCTCACAAATAGCTTCTGCTTTGGATGGCAGTTTCATGACTAAGCAGTCCTGTGCTGCAGCTATCCTTTCTTTTTGGCTGAATGAAGAACAGCCATCATGCCTGTCCTTGTCAGTGAGCCTCTTCAACAAACAGCAGATGAGCTTGACCCACTATTTCTTCGATGAAATTCAGCAAATGGCTCCCAAAGGTCAGCACTGCAGGACAGATACCTGACATGTGCCTACAGCAGAATCAACAATAGCTCATTGGTATTTACAATATTTAATTAATACCAATTTACAATTGGTATTTACAATAGAGGCCAGTTCTAGATCTCCAGTTATCTTTTGCCAGCAGCAGTGTGAAATCAGACATTGTGTGTGTGCTTTATGGCTTGTCCCGGCTGCCAGTGCACACTGATGTGCTGCCTTCACCTCTGAAGACAGAGGTGACACTTGGTTATTGTCTGCCCTTCCAGACAGTGGCAGTGGTGGCTGATAATGCAGCTGTAATGAGATACAATGCCAGTGTTCACTGATACTTTGGCCTGCTGCATCCTACTTAGCAGAGTTTGTATCAGTACAGCTTCTGTGTGAAGTTACATTGTCTTATTTGCAACACTTAGGTTATCTTAGCAGCCAGAAAAACAGATGAGCAAAGGAAAACAAATAGATCAACCCTGCAGTTTTTCCCTTTTTAATGAAGAGTGTGAAATGTCAGCTATGTAAGATTCACTGCACATTCATTAAATGTAAATATCTGGCAGATATCCTTTAAATGCTTACCTAGTTTTTGCATTCCAACAGGCAGAGCCAACATAAGCTGCAATGGTGTGCACTGGTTTCCTGCCTTCCTGAGGTATTTTCTGTGCTTCCAAATGTTAAGTATCTCTGACATCCAAGAGATTAAATTACTGTCCCACATGCTGCCACCTGCTGAGATTAACCAAAACTAGAGCTAAAATACTCCATTTCCAGTAGATTTCAGCTTCTCATCAAGTACAAATTAGGGACAGCATTTGCAGACAGGTGTGGTTACCCTGAAACTGAAAACCTTCGATGGCTTCAGTCTACATATACATGCTGTCCACAACTACTGAATAACTTTTTAATTTAATTACTTCCTTGTGAGGTATGCAAGGTGTGCATAAACAATCCTGATTCTGTGCACGTCAATCCGCTTGGAACAAAGGCTCATCTATGTATGTATGTACACACAAACATACAAATGCACAGGTCACCTGGTGCAGGAAAGAAAAGAAAAGTGTTGTTATAAATATTCTGATAAAATAATTGATTTATCATATAAAAGAGTTAGTTATGATTACGAGTAGAAAATGGTAAAGTATAAGGTATAGCAATGTTAGGACTGCTGTGTTTAAAGTATACAGCCACAGAAACTTCACCAAGAAGTTCCTGGATTTCCTATGTTTTGTTCAAGAAACAATGGAGATCATCATGCACACCAGTTATGCTGCTCAGAAGCCCCCTACCCTTCCCATCTTGATGTGAATGTCAAGGATTCCAACCAGCAGAGGTGAGTAAAAATGATCAATGATTGTCCTAGGGTAGGAATATTAATGAAGTTATGTAACTAGCAAAACCAATTGTTGTAAAGGTTAAATTTAAAAGTGGACGGATTATGCATAGTACATAAAACAACTTATGTAACGATGACTTGGCAGAAAAAAATATATAAAATTGATGGATTTTGTTTACTTAGTGGACTATGTTTGGAGGAATAATCCTGTGTGTTCCCAGCACCAAAATAAATGTCTGCTTATTCACATCAAACTGATGTTGGATACGTTTCTTTTGTCCTGTTTGGTGACACCCTTGTTTTCAAAACTCAGACCGGTGTTTAGATTTGTACCTTCCTCTTGGAGCAGCCACGCTGCACGGATCATTTCATTAATCACTTCCTTTTTTAGTTCCCAGCTAAGGATTAATGAGTACTCTAAGTACAGTCTGATAACATGTCCTGCAGGTAGCAGGCTTTGCCTCCAGGCCGATTTACACACTTCAGCAGGAGCAGCCAAAGGAAGATATCCTTGCTACCTGCATTGCCCTTTTGCACATGAAAGCTGCAGTTTCAAAAGAATATGTAACAGTGGAAGCTGGTATGCTGCTAATGAAACTTTTACATCTCAATCACCCGGGTTGTCTCTATCTTAGATACAGAAGGACAAGGAAATTTAATTCCAAGATATTTGCTGGGGACAAAATTGTACTTTACTTGGAAAAAAAAAAACCAAACCCGTATTTTAGAAGATCATCAGGAAGTGGCCAAATGAGGCAGAGAAAATCCCAGCCACAGTAAGGTGTTCTCAGGTTATCAGCATTGCCAGAGCTGAGATTTTAAGAACACTTATGTCTTTGGGAAGAGTTACCCATTTAATTAGATTTTCAATTCGGACCTACCTCATTAGAGGAGCTCAGATGAGCTTTATGGGGTTTGGGGTTTTTTTTCCCCCATTCTCACAAATCACCATGTACAAAATCCAGTTAATTTCAGTGGGGTTGAACACAGGCTGAGTGAGAAGGTGGCGAGAAGGATCGTGACTGTGCATTACAATACAACGGCTATGAACTTGCAGGGCGCCACCGAGTTATCTCACAGCATTTAGAAGCAGAGAAGCGGCTCGGCAGGACGCGCCGCTCTGCGGCCGGCGGGGCCCGGGCCC